GCTTATTTCCAATTGAAATCTGTCAATGATGAATTATTTTGATAAGTCAATCCAAATTGTTCAAATGTCCCTTGGCTCCATTATTTAGTTGAAATGTTTGAAATTTTCAAAAGGAAGGAAACTCTCAGAACACTTGTGGGACTTGCATTGTTTAATGTTTATATGATAATCATACAATGTCCGGTTTTATATTCAAATAGTCCTAGGGACTTATTGGTAGTAGAACATTGGAATAATGCTCCCAAGTTTGTATGAGGTATAAAAACACACACACCACATTGCTTGTATTTGTACTCAATTGTAATAAAATGCTAGTGACTAGCATTTATGATTTGAAAACTTAAAATTCTTTAAAGCATTTTAATTTATTTTTGCCATATAGATCCTATTAAAATTTAATTCCAGTATCAGCTTTGAACATTTCGTGTATTTGTTTTTCAAGATTTATTGGGTTTTTTTTCTACTTTAGAAAATTTTTTGTTCATGTGCTTTTTATTACTTGTTTCTCAAATGTCCTTTACTTAAAATTCACTAATAATGAAATCAGTATTGCTGAATTAATTAAAATCTCTCTCTCTTGCCTGTAGTTGACATTAATTCTTTGATAGGTAAATCCAAAGGCATTCCTTATATTTTATGAATTATGATTTCTAAGCTTTATAAAAAAATTTCTACTTTTTGGATTACTATAAACTTTTTTTAAAACTTTGTGAAAACCCATTCACTTATAAAGTGAGTTGTTTATTTTGTTGTTTAAATATCTACCATATTTGATGACATAAAAGATCTCCATCTTGCTACAATATTAGGATTTAATAACTTTGTAATAAATGCACAAAAAGACTTGTTTTGAACTAAACTAATTAGAGAACACAACTAAAGTTCTAGTAACATTTGATGTAACATCAAAATATATATATATATATATATATATAAAAAAAAAAATTCTTTTTTTTTTTTCTTTTTAAAAAAAAGAAAAAATAATGTTGAAAAAAGGCCCAAACTTGATAAAACAAAGTTTTAGTGTTAAAATGTTTGTTATTAGAAGAAAGATCAAAGTATTTTTTGATTACTTTATTAAATTTTTTAATGCTTTTTAGCAGGTTCAAAATTTTGGTTAAAAATCTTGTTTTTCTTGCGGGTCATTCCATGTCAATTCACCAGGGCATTACACCCGTCGACACCAAATTACTTGAAAATTGGCACAAATGTCCCCCTTCATGAGTTAGGAAAGTGTGCTAAATTATTTTGTGCTAGACTTTACCGTTCCAATTTTAAGAGGGTGGTGTATAATTTTCCTATTTTGCCTCTAAAAATCAATCAATTTGTTTTTGTCAAACAGAAACACCGTTTACCAAAAATCTGCACTGAATTGTAAAATAAAAAATGCAATAAAACTGACATTATTTTACTTGCTTTTATAAATAAGATATTAAGGGCGCTACTGTCTTAAGAAAAAAAATTTTTGATAAATTTTTACAAGAATGGTTTGCTTTTTTTTTTTAGAAAATTTTATTAAATTTTAAATCTCAAAATTCTGTATTTCTAACTGAAAATCTGCTCTGAATTATAAAATAATAAATGCAATAAAACTATGACATTATTTAATTAGAAAATCTTTTAATTGCTTTTGTAAATAAGTTATATTAAGGGCACTAATGTCTGAAGAAATAAAAATTTTCTGACGAATAATGATTTTTTTTCCATTTTTTTTTTTTCCATTTTAATTATAATTTATAATAGTTTAAAATTGTGTAAAATTCTGTATTGGGCTATTTCCTGGATTTGATAAAGTAATTAAGTGGAAACAAAATTTACAATCCAAAATTGAAAATAATTAATAAACATGGTTACACCATTCTATTTTAAAAATCTAAAAAAATGGGTATTATAAACCTAATGTCCTCGTGTGTTCTTGAAGCCTTACCTTGAGGGGGCTTCAAGAACACCAGAAAGCTGTAACACGAGGGGAAGTAGAAAAATCAGGCGTGGCTGACCACATATGGAGAGAGAAGAGATCACCACCCTCTGTGGGATCATGTTGACATCATAGACAAGGAACACCAGTGGAAAATTCGTAAACTTAAGGAATCAGCACATATGCTAGGCCACAAAAATCTCCTGAGCTGACTAAGCATAGAAATAAATACAATATGGGAACCAGTAATAAGGAGTGCCAGAGAAAAGCAATGATAACAACAAAGTTGCAATATGAGTTCTGGTAAAAATATGAAATGATAACAGCAAAATTGCAATATGAGCACTCGTACAAATGGTTGCTGAAGACATTAGGTTTATAATACCCAGAAATTCATACCCAGATGTCCTCAAGGACACATGGCACAGTGGATAAAGGTGTTGGTTAGATCCAGGACCCAAAGAGTGTGAGTTAAGGCAGTGGAGAACTTTCAGAGGGAAATTAGCAGGAGATAACTGATAACTGACATTCATCAAACATGGCATGTGGAACTAGAACAATCTACCCCAGTGAGCGAAATAAAGGGTTCAGTTTGAAATTCCAACCACCTGAAGAAGGCCGGAACGTACAACGGCTGAAACCTTGTGATAAATATGGCGACAAAGATGAGGACAATAGTCCAAATAATGTAAATAATGTACATAATACCTCATCTCAGAAATATAGACACTCTTAAAAATATATATATATATATATATAAAAATGTTTTAATTACACTAAAGGCCCCTTTTAGTATAAAATTAAAAAAAAAATCTTGAAATTCCTTAAAATTAACTTTTTGTTAAATAGAACTCTCAGTATCTTAACTTTAGATTCATAACAAGATGTCATCTGTACTGGACATGTCTAATATGTCAACTTATCTAGACATGAATTAATAATACACCTACCTCTACCTCCTGACCCTGTTTTCATTTTTCCATGTTAGTTTTGATTCGTCTTTTGATTGGTTAATCAAGACATACCCACAAATGTTTTTTTATAATTTTGTAATCTTGGTTTTCTCTCCTCCTTTTAAACTCTCAAATGAGCTACCAAATTGTTTTCTGATTTCCCAAGTAAATCATTTTCATTATAAGTTATCTAATATCGCCTGATGAGCAACAATTTTAAGTTCCAACACACAGAAATGTAATCTATAATACTTTAAGTGAACATTGAAGTCAACACTCGGATGTGACAGACTGTTTCATGCTAGACGCAATCATCAGGCCTGTTGATTGTGTCTAGCATGAAACAGCCTGTCACCTCTGAGTGTTCAATGTTCACTTTTATATTTACATAAGCTCTAGCTCTGATATTGAGCACTTTATCCCATAAATATTGCACACCTTAAAACTATTTCTACACACACACACACACACACACACACATATATATATATATATATATATATATATATATATATATTAGAAAATCAGCCAATTCAACTACCTTGGTTTCAACTTGATTTTCTCCTCCTCCCACATCATGTGCTTATTCATTTATTTGTTTTAAAAAAAAAAAGTGTTAGGAAATAAATTGACCAAAATTGAAGATACTGAAAGGTTGAAACCAAGGTAGTAGAATCGGCTGATATCCTAATTTTCTGTACTTAAAAAGCTCTACATATTGAATTTTTATCTTTTTTTTGTATGTGTATTGAGCACATTTTTAATACTACTTTCCTGGTCTAATTCAACTCTGATCATTAACTTCTTTATTATTGTTTTATATATATATATATATATATATATATATATATATATATATATATATATATAAAATGTGTGTATGTTTTTTTTTTTTCTTCTTTTTTTTTTTTTTTATAAATATCTGCAATTTTTTTCATACTTTTTATTTTATTTTAAAAAAAGGAATTTAAAAATGAATGCTAAAAAGCTGCTCTGGCATTAAATTATGTTCTTCCCTTTTAAAAACTTTATGAAATTTTTAGTTGAATTTCCTATTTTAACTTGTTCTCTACTTCAATCATTACTTATTTCCTGTCTCTTTTGTACATGCCTTGTGTACTCATCACCTCTGAGGATTCATTCAAAACAAAGATCATTTTTCTTCCTTGTCATAAGTCAATGTGTAAGATTTATTCCCTATCTAAAATCTAACAAATAAAAGACTTAAATATTTTGTAACAATAATTCTGTGCATGAACATATAGGTTGAAACATTGCCTTCTTGATATTTTTTTTATTGTGTTCATTTTGTAACTTCCCAATCATGAATTTGAGAATTTATCTTCAGGAAGGATATCCCAGAAATGGTAGGGGAGGATAAGCAGCATAGACATACTTTCAGGGGGGATTGGTGTGGGGGTCACCACTTACAGTAACAATCATAGGATCATTACACCTCTATAATTATGGATAAAAAGGAAAATGACATTGACAGAGATGATGTTCTAACACAGAATTTTTACATCCAAAATAACTAATATAGAACTGTCATGAACAAGTTAATCTCTTAGGTCTTGTCTTGAATTCAGTTATAACTGGATAGCCTACTACAAAACTAAAATTCAAAATCTATTCAAAACTTAGAATAAGTTTATTCATTTCCTTGTTAATATCAGATTATGTGTATTTGTTTTCTGAGCTTTTTTTTAGTCTGTTGTCTCTATCCTTTATTATTTTGAACTGTTTTTTTTTTTAATCTATTCATTGATCTTCATGCATCCAATTTGTGCCCTAGTTGAGATTGGAGAAAACCAACAAATGATAATCTACCTTGTTTTTCCCAAGGGTCACAAATTGCAACAGATTTTCAAGTTGGATATATTTAAAACAGCAGGGTTTTTTGTCATTTTTTTTTTTTTTTTTTTTATTAAAAAATAAAAATAAATTCTATATAATGAAACTAATAAATATAGAAAATTTCTGTAATATATAGTAAATGCATATTTATATTTCTTTTTTGTTATCTTTTAATTTTATGAAAGTTTGTATTTTCAATTGTGAAATCTTTTTACTTCACCTTATATATAGAAATTTTCTGTTTTGGTTTAAAAAATTTTCTTCTTATTCAGGCTCCTCGAATGAAAGTCCGTGCCAAATATGATTTTGTAGGAAATGTAAGTATTAACATTTTTTTTTTTTTTTTAACTTACCAAATGAATGCCTGAAATACTGTAGTGAGAGACTACATCCAACAATCAAGCACTTAAAAATAAAATGACTTGTTTTTCTTCACAAAATAGCCATTTATTATAGTATCTACAACTGTCCACATTCAAGAATCATGTGATTGAATATCTTTAAAGATGAAGTTGGAAAACTTTGTTCTGATATTAAATTTTTGAATGCTCAACTTGATGAAATTTAAAGGTTTACCAGAAAAATGATTTTCTTACTCTTCTCAGTGGTTATATTATTCATTTAAATGTAAACTAAATTTTTGGCAGAGATTTTCAGAGTTGTATTAAGTGTAATGAGTAAATTTGTATAGATAGTTTCGAGAGTTAGTGTAGTTTCTGGCACAAGGCCACAAGTGGGTCAAGGTTGTTAATACTAAGCCATTAGTTGTTCTTTAACAATATAGTCAAATAAAAGAATGCCTGTGGAATTTTTGTTATCATATATGTATTATCTTTTAGATATATACATTTTTTTTTCTTTTGTGCAGAAACCATACCGAAAAAAGAAATTATTTGAATACATGTTTTTATGAAGTTCTGATTTTCATTATTCTACATATTTTTCAAACATTGTTTCAATATTTGTCTTTTGAGCATATTTTTGCAGATGGTTTTGCTATTTCCATATTGTGTGAGATTCTCACATTATAGTATTTTTATTATTCATATAATTTTAATTGTATTTGTCTTTTAACATTTCAGCAGATCATAAAAATATCGTAAGAATAAAACATTAGGTAATCATTACTAATTTTTAACCAATATTTCTTTCATTTTAATTCCAATTGTTTATTGAAACTACTCAATGTCATTCTACAACCATTACTAATCTGCGTGTATCAGAAATAAAGAATTGTCTTTTGGTGAGACATGAATTTACATCCCTTCCTTAACATGGGAAGCCTACCTTATTGTGATAGTTGTTTTATTTAAGCTACAAGAGCTAACAGTTGGCAAATCAGATATAACTATAAAAACTGATTACTTGTGTTACTCTGATCCCTTGCCACTGCTATACTTAATATTGTTTTTATAACACACACACACACACATACACACACACAAGCAAGCAGTGTTCTCTTGAATTTTAATTGGATAAACCATTGACCAATTTGTTTGTTTTTTTTTACACTAGTATTTTTTTCATCTGAATTTTTGATCTCAACTGTAAACTAAATATGCAGTTTAGAAAATTAACTTTTTCAGATATGCTAAGAGGTAAACAGATTAGGTTAGGATATTTTTTATTATATAGTAACTGAAATTATTATTGCTGGTTTACTTGGTTAAAAAGTAACTTTAAGGATATAACAATGAAAGATCAAAGATACTGTTGTGGCCAATTATCCTGTAAAATACCTACAAGTATGATTTGTTATATAACTGAACACATTTATTGCTTATTGTGATTTTAGTAACTGATGGAAAGCTTACATCACTGCTGACTTATAGAAATATTTCAAGTCTTGGTTTCCATTATCACCCATGAAACCTTGTTTTTAGACTATGTATCTCCAAAAATACACTAAAAAAAGATACATGATGAAAAAAATGCACAAAATATTTTGTAAAAAATTTTTTATTGTTCTTAGATCCCTGGAAATTTTGAATACCAAATATTGTTTAGCTGGTGTTCAAGTGGGATGTTAAATTCATAGAGGAAATTTGAGTATCTTTTTCTGGTGAAAAACACATTGATTTAGAAATTCTTGCAAAAATCAGAACTTATTCAGAAATAAATTAGATTGTTTTAGAAAATCTTTGTAAAAATAATTTTTTTAATCCATTATCCAATAAAGCTCAGACTGATTTAATTTTGATGAAATTTTGATAAATCCTTTTTTGCATTGCATAAAGTTCATATTTGTTATAAGGATGAGTCCTCAGAGAATTTAAATCTTTAAAAGTTTTTGATCAAACAGGATCCCCAGTTGCAGAAAATTTTCCGTGAATTGTAAAATAAAAAATGCAAGTGATATTAAATAAAAATTGTATTTACTCATCATAAATGGAAAAGGTCACTATAATTCGACAAATAGTGTTCTGTGTGTATATAAACATGTCAATTTTTGTGAATCCAGACATCCGTACATGACATTATCAGAAAATAATACAGGTACCTATAATAAATGTAAAATTTATGGGTGATTTTCTCAACACTTAAACTTCAAATCTGTTTTTGGTTTTTTTTTTTTTTTGGGGGGGGGGGGTTCCTAAAATAACATTTCAGAAAAGTATATTTTAGTTTTGAAAGATTTAAAAAAGAATTATTTTATTTTGACATATTTGTCAATATGGATGAAGTTATAGATTTTAAGGATAAAGAGGAAAAACAAAATCCTAATCAACTTAAATTTGATTACACCAAAGTATCTTGCTCATTGTGAATATTAATCTATGAGGTTGGTATCAAAACTAAAATTAAAGCTTCAAGATTGTTTTTTTCTTTTTTTTATGCAATAACTTTGGGTATTGCACCCTTTTTTATATTATATTTTTCTCTTAATATATTAGCTTTTATTACAACAGATTACAAAAATTACAAATTAAAGTACCAAATTTGTTTTGGTGCTGTCTATTTCATTGTTTATTCAAGTCTTAGTCACATGGTGTAATTGTGGCTTATGTCATTTGAAGGCCTTTTTACATACACAGAGTGACTCTGCACACTTGTCTGTATTTTAATGAGGTAAATAATAGTGCTGAAAATAACACCTTTTTCCTCAGAACAACAATACCATGCAAATTAAATTGTTTGTACCCTTTTATAGAAGGATAAATATATGCTAAATTAGACCAATTTTATTTTAAAACAAAGATTGTTTAGTATCCTAATTTGAATTTCCTGAGACTTTAAATTCTTTTATTTTTAATTTACGTTTCAATGAAGCTTATTGGTAGTACAAATTCTTTGATTTGTAAACTGAAAAGTTTCGAACTAGAATTTTTAAAATTAAAGTAAAAATTAGCTCTGGTTTCGATTTAAATACTTGTATACCAAGTATCTTAAGACAACAGTTTGTTTGTGTCAGAGTTGTACATTAATTTCTCAAATGTTGTTTGAGAAAAATAATTTCTTTGACTATCATCTTCAAGCATGTTAAGAACATGATAAAGTCTAGTTGTTCATGTTATTATTTTTAATATGCATGTTATATAGTAGTTTAATGAGTGTAGTGTATTTGTTTAATGAATTTTATCTACATGGTACTTCATAATTTCTCCTAATGCTAATCCACAAGGCAGCTCATTTGATTAGAAATTTTTACTTTTGCATAGGTATTTAAGTTTAGTCTGAGATGAGACATCCAGTGAAAATTGAACATTTGCCTTAAAACAAGTTCATCCTGGGTATGATGATAGACTGCATCCAACAACAAGGCCTCTGATCAGGATGTTTTGAGGATTGTGGAACCACCTCTTAATTGTTTTTGTTGTTGTTCCTAGGTCCACCCCGACCCGGGGAGGTAACACATGTTAGGGTCCCAGCTATGAGTAAATAGTTCCCACTCCCACAAACTGGTGTCTGAATACTAAGAAAGTGTAAAGATGTATTTTTATAATAAAAATACCAGCAATACAAATTGCAATATATAAAATGCACATTGACAAAACCAATTCCTAAAAACTACAAATTCCTCTCAATGGGGCCACCTGTTTGCTGTGGGCGGTGACCTGTGATGCCTGAGGACAAAGTCCTGGTGACTGAGTGACTTTTGATTCAGTATAAAATGACGAGGAGTGTCCACAACACATCACTTCAGTCTGTACCTGGGATAGATGGGCGAATGGAATATCCCAATTTATTCCAATCGGCTAGTCACATAGTGGCTAAGGGCTGCAAATCTTTACATCATATTATACTTGGGTAGATATGCTGGGGGAATGAGTGTGCTCATATCCACTTTCATCACAACTATACTGTCTATGTAGCCCTAGTGGATCAGTGCAAATCAGATTAGCCCCTTAAGAAGGAACTCCAAGGTGGGTGCGGAACACAAACTGAATACAAAAATCAAAATTATATAGCTATCTCTTATAAACGAACCAAGAGACAACAGAAAGTGAAAATGAAATATCAGGGGAAAAAAACAAAAAACAAAGAAAACAACAATTTCCAACTTTCATAGGTATAGAATCACTAGATGGTGGAATATCAAAAGTGTCTCCTTTTGTGTTGCACAGGGTTATATCAGCTATGATTGAACCAAAATCTGTATAAAAAAAAAAAATAATAATACACTTTTAATTAAGTTAAAACCAAAAAAGACATAGAAAAATTACTAAAAATTAAGCAAATAGACAATAATAAAGTAAAGGCTTACCCCCCACCAATTTCTTAATTCATCTAAGGGAGTAATAAAATGCCCAGAGCTGTCACTCTGCTCACCAGAAGAAATCAAAAAGGATGACACCCTAAAAAAAAAACAAGGAGTAACAGACTTCAAAAGAATTCAAATAAAAGAACAAACCTACTCTACCTAAAGAAATAAAGATAGGATATTCAATAGTCAAGGTAGAGCCATACGTTCTTAATCCCCATAGATGTCACAAATGTCAGAAATTTGGTTATCTACAAAATCTTTGTACGATAGTATCAGTCTGTCGAAGATGTGGGAAACTTGAGTCAGATCATGAAGAGTCTGTCCAAACGATAAAAAAAAAAAAAAGCGCTCAGCAGAATCTAAAGAGTGTAACGTCTGGAAAAAGGAAATAATAAAAAATAAAATACATGCAAAACATCTCATTTCAAGAAGCCAGAAAACAGGTCAAATCTTATTCACTTCCAACATCATATGCAAATATTGCTAAAATATCAAATCACCAAAATGACATCCAAGAGAACAATGCACTAAGAAACCAAGATCTTGCAACTCTAATAAATGAATTAAAAAGTCTAATAGAACTACTAAAATGTAGTATATCACACATAAGTCAAACCCCATAAACAAAACAAATCTTATCCTGTCAACCTCAAACAAAAAGACTGTGTACAAAACAATTAACTCCGAAAATCACAGTCCAAAGTACAAGAATCCTTCAAGAAATAGAACCCTTTAAACATTCCCAAGAGAATCAAAAGATGCATAAAAAACAACACAACCTGGTACATTATTGAAGAACCAAGCGAAATGGACATAGATGAACAAAACTCTATCCCATCTCAAACAAAGGAACGGTTATCGTCCAAGCAAAATCGTCAAAAAAACCTAATGGAAAATCTAAGGAAACAAGATCAAACAAACATGCAGAAACAAAAGACTTTCAAAGAACAAAACATGACAATAAAACAAAGCACTAATAGACCAGAGAGCATAGAAATTATGGACACTTTGCCCACTAAGCATAAATCAGACAAGGAAAAAACTCTTAACACCTGGGGTCAAAACACTATGAAAGTGTAAAAGTAGGTTTTAATACCAGAAATACTTTGTGTTTAAAAAAAAAAAAAAAAATTAAAGTATTACCAGCAATACATTTTGAAAAAAAAATATTACTTGCAGTAGATTTTAGAAGGAAAAATATTACCAGCAATAAAAAGTTTGTTAGCATTAAATAACCAATTGAGTTTGATATCTCATAAAATCTAACCAAACCAAATTTTAAAACAAGTGCCCATGGTCTTGTTATTTATTGTATTGTTATTGTATAACTTTTAATCCGACTGGTTATGCAAATAGGATTTTCTATCTCTGAACAACTATAGAAAATAATTGTTCACTTTTAGCCTGAATCAAAATGGTGGTGAGTAAATTGACAATTAATCTAAAAAAGTAATGCCTAGTGAGGATGAAGATAATTTCATTAACCATTACTCACTTGAACATCTACATCTATAATTAATTTTGGATGAAAGTAAAAAATCCTCTTAATACAATTGCAGAAGTTTAATCACTTTTATACTTGAATTTTGTAAACATATTTTTTATATTTTTAAGTTGCTATCAACTTTTCTTTTTTACAATAATGTGCCAGTAAACAATACCTTCTTTTTTTCTTCTCAGGATGATGAAGATTTGCCCTTCAGGAAAGGAGAAATCTTGGAAGTAATTAGTAAGGATGAAGAGCAATGGTGGACAGCACAAAATGACCGTGGTCAAGTTGGACAAATTCCTGTACCTTATGTAGAAAAGGTGGCTTAACCTTTTAAACTCTTTTAATTAACAGTAAAATTTTTTCACATCCTTAGTTACTTTTAATTATGTAAATTCTGAATAGAGGTAAAGCATCAGTGCTTATTATCATAATTGACCCTGAGGTCATCTCATCCTTATCAGATAAAGCAAAGTTCTTTGCCACTATCTTTGCTCAACATTAGATGACAGGGGAAGTCAGGGTGGGAATGGCCTTATCCTCCTTCCAAAACCCAATATCAGTAATCACTGAATCAGTGAAACACTAGACAACAAATACATCTCAAGGATGATCACATTAAATATTACAAAGGATTTTGACAAGGTGTGGCATAGAGGATTACTGCGCAATCTCTCTAACTATGGAATCACTGGAAGAGGTTTTCAGTTATCAAGTCCTCAATGGTTAAATCTCTGAAGATAGTTATTAATGGCCAGTTTCCTTAGTTTTACAAATTCTAACCTTCATGGCTAAGACCCATTATGTCATGAACATTGTAGCAAACAACCCTCATTCCCTTCATATTCCATTAGCTTCTTCCACAAAACACTGCTTTATAGAACTGACTTGCAAGAGGATGCTTCCTCAATTACTACAATCTTCACCTATTCAAGTCTAGGGTTAACCATTATCTTCCTCTCATATCTGCATAAATTGTACCCCTTATTTTGTAACTCTCTATATTGATTGGCTCTTGGGCCTTATACAAGGTAACCATCATTGTTAAAAAAAACAAAAAACTTATGAATTTCATTTTTTTGTCACAGCCTCAAATATTTTAATGGTAAATGTTAAATTTGATTTAATGAACTCTATGAAAATGGAAGAAAGTGAAGACTCGGGTGAATTGGAGTTTATATTTTGTTGGATATTGTTAATTTAATCATGTTTTGTGGGTTCAGTCAATTTTCTGTCCCATTCTCTTTTTGTTTTGTTTTTTTCCCCGCCTTTTCTCTGTAAATAGTTCCAAATTTTAAAAAAGTGTTATAATGCACTTTGTAGCATTTGTAATATAAGTAATGCTTCAGCTACTTTTATACCAAAAGGAAGTCAGTTAATCTTATATAATCCTCTACATATTTATGGCCATTAATTCTAAAACATTCATTTTCAATCTGAATTTTTAAATACCTTTCAGAGTGATCCAGCTTTGAAAATATTCTTCCGACATTTAACTTTGAAAAAAATTTCCTCTAGACTTGGTAATGGGTAATTATTTGTTTCTAAACAACTATTTAACTATTTAATCTTGTTGAGAAATCCATGCAAACATAATTTTTTTTTTTTTTATACATACACCACTAGTGCAGGCCATTTCAGGTGGTTAATTTTTTTTCTATTACACCTATTTTGAGTCTGTCCAACTCTCTGTTGACTTGTTTCAATGCTATGAATAGGGTACTCCGTTTTGGCTTAAATACTGGCATCATCTTTTTTTTTTTTTTTTTTTTTTTTTTTTTTTTTTTACTTGAAAATTCCACCTTAATTTTTTTAACCCCAAACCAGTTCATTTGACAGAACATCAGGAAAACATTTTTTTAATTCTTCCTTGAGATTTTTCACTCTGAATTTATAAATTGGTCATTTGTCCACTTATGTTTTTACAGTAAATATTTATCGGCAAATCCTAAAGTTCAAATAGTTCCATCCAGTCAGTACTGAATAAATTTGGAGCATTTTTTAATACATAAGCTTTAGTTTTTACATGTTTATTACAGAATGAGACATTACAAGTCATTTCTTTAAAAAAAATTTTCTCAACCAGAAACTGTAATCGCAACTTTGGAAGTCCTTTTTAATAAATTTTTGCTCGTATTTCAGCATCTTTTTTTAGCTTGAATGAAAACCTTTTGAACATATCTGGAGTCATTTTCTTTATTCTAAACTTTTCACATTCTTTGACAATACCAGCATACATGACAAAATCTTCATCCTCTTTTTTTGGTTAGATTCATGCACCTCCAATGAGCATTAAACAGAGAGCTCTTGTCACTAAAAATTTTCATCAGAATGTGTACCATATCTTCAGATCCAACTTCTGTTTTTTTTTGTTTTTTTTTTTTTAAATATGTAGTTGCAGTATTTTTCATACTCTATCAGAGCTATTTTCCTCAACAACAATCTCATTTTGCTCTCATCTTCCTTGATCATTCCTGAATGAATATTTTCTACATGTCTATGAAAATACACAGAAAAAGTAACTCCCTCATAATCATCAAATTCTGATATGGTGTTTTATGTTTTAGACAGCATTTGGCATAAGAGACAATGAAGAATTTTTTTGTTTTCTTCAGAATTCAACAACTCCTGTTGCTGTTTTTGTAGTTATAGCAGCTGTTTATTTTGTTGTTGCTGTTTCTATTGTTGAATTTCAACTATCAAAGCCAAAATTTGTTCCATATTTGTAAGAATGCTTTTTTTTTTTCTTACACCCAAGAGAAAAATTTTTTTTTTTTTAAACCAAAGTGGTTGAAATTCTTGTCAGCCATGTCCTTTGTTCCTGAAGCAACAAGTATACATTTTTTTTTCCCCCCATACTTGTTCACTCAGTATGAGTTTCCAAAATCTTTGTAACTCCAGTTACAACTCATAAGAGTTCTGAATCCTTGTCATAATGGTTATAAATCACCTGAGTTTCGAATCCCTCATTGTTACTATTATAATACACTTCATAACACAAGTAATCCTTTGGTTACCTGCTGTGACACCTGTATTAATTAGTCTTAAAATTGACTTCAAACAGCTTTTTCTTTTACCTCTGACCTGGTGCTCTTTATTCATAGTTATGGACTAGTTCATATAGCTGCCAGGTGTGTATTTATTTACTCTACAGCAAAAAGAATCTCCACTTCCCTATTTCTCAATTATGGGAATGCATGATAGATTTAGTTTTTTAATAATAATTTTTTTAAGCATTTATAACCTTCCATGTAAGTGACACATCATGAAACTCTTTAATAAAGAAATTTGAAACCTCTCTACATATAAATTAGGAAATAAACTTTATTGCACAAATTGAAAATATTTCATTTCAGTATTGCACTGAGCATTTTAAATTCTCTGTTTTCTAGAGTCTTCTATTTTACCCTTCTGGAATTAGATTTTCTCTTTCTATGCAAATAATATATTTGAAGAAGGCCATAAACTTGATCATATAAACTATTAGTAGGACACCATAAATAACAAAAAAAATGAATTTAGTTGTCCAAGCAACTCGTAGGACACATTTTAATATTTGACATAGGAAGATCTTGAACTCCCAATTACACATGGACATGGGTATGCCATTTGACCCTAAATATTGCAATATTTCCTCAGTCATAATATATTCATGTGGTCACTGCTTACTGCAGAGCCTATGTCAATTGTTCACATAAGCACACTTCTGTGATTCTGAGCTGACTATTCATATTTAAATTTTTTTTAACACTATTTTGACTATTTTTTCCCTTACCCCTTTTATTTCAAAATTTTTAAGTTTTAATTCTATTTTTTTTTTCCAGTATGATCCACACCAACCACAAAGGCTGAGTAATTCTCAAAACAAAGAATTTTCCAATCCCACTGTTACAAATACATTTACTTCAGCAATCAACCTCAAGGTAATAATCTCTATCACTTTGCTTACTGATTCTACTCCTCCTGTAAGGTTTATATAAAGATCAATTAAAAGTAGAAATCATTTCAAAATTGAAAAAAAAATGGCAAACTACTTTTGAAACAATTTCTCTTACAATAACATCATCACCACCATTTTCTTTTCTGTCACAGTCTTCCTTCATTATAATATGTATAGACATGCCAGCTAACCAAATGACTTTATTTTTATCATCTGTCGGTTTATAAAATTATTTAAGAGTTATTTTTATAAAAAAAAAAATTCTCATTTTAAGAATATTTTTGTTTATATCAAATTTGGAAATAAGATACTTGTTATACTCAGAAAAAAGTTCTTGGAAATTTTTTTCCTTTTGTTTTGTTGTGATAAATAGTTCTTTTACTCTCTGGAATATTTTTTTATGGACAATATTTTTATAAAATATACTTCCTGTTAAAGTACTCTTGTTATCATGTGTATATGATTTCCTTATTACTTTAAGGCTTCTATTAGAAATATTACGCCTTTCTTGCTTGCTTTCTTTATGTAAAATACATTTTTAGATGATATTGTCCAAAATTTGTAGAATTTAAGGAGCTCAATTTTGTTTTCCATTACATTTACAAAAGAACCAGATTTTATCTCTGACTTTTGGAATCCGCATATAGGAACAGCTTTTATCATAAATATCCTTTCTTTTATACTAATTTGTTTCTTGTGTAAAATGAAGAACATTGTCAAAATATGAGTATCATTTGATTGAATCTTTTTTAATGAAGCCTTGTCATTTTTGATTTTTTAAATTTAATTTTTCTCACAAAATTCACATAAGACATCAGTGCCTGTTACTTTATAACACATATAGCATATCTCGTTTTTACTAATATCTGAGGATAGATCAAATGCACATTTCATATTTTGCCTACATGACCTCAAAAAAACAAATTTTTTTCTTGATTTTCTGCTTCACCATTTTTTAAATTCTCTGTTTATGGTGTAGGTGATTGGTTTTTCTATTAAGTTGATGACTGACCTCATAATTTTTAGAAGTATTCAATAACTTAGCTAAATGTAAATATCTTTGAAGTTTTAATTACAAGAACATAGCATGATCTTGTATGTGCAAGACAGTTGAAAACAAATAAAGAGAATGATATTCAATAGAAAGAATCAGTATATTTTCAAAAACATTTGTACATATGTTAAAGTTATAAAAACAAATGAAGATTATTCAATAAAGCCACCCTCAGGCTCATTGAATGTCTCAATGTAACCTCAGAAGTGACTGCATGCTAAGGTCTATCACATTCACAATGACAATTTCCAATGAGTCTTTGGTATTGCTTGGACTATGTTAATCTCCCTCTCAACAATGTTCCAGGTGTAGCATTTCAGTGGGATTCAAATCATGAGAGTCTAAGAGACATGTTGAGGTGGTTATGATTGTGAAAATTCTTGGCCAGCCAATCATGGGCTAGAAGAGAAGGTAGTCCTGCTGAAAGAGACTACCTCCTCTATCTAGGGTTTGACCCTGGTACCCAGAACTTTAATGCAAGCAATGACATTGACCCAAAGCACCTACCAAAAAAAAGTTGGGTAGCCTGACATGGCTCTTATTGCTTCTAACCCCCAAGACTATTACAAACATCATGAACACTGTTGGATATACTGTTTGTATTTGCACAAAATATTTGACAGAAACTTAGTGGGAATATAAATACAAAACATTAAAAAAAAAAAAAATTACCCAGTATATAGCAAACATCAACAATACCCCAGTGACTACAGAACAAGATGAATACCCACTAAATAGCAACTCTTGAGAAACCAACATGATATACCCAGTCACTGTAATATCCAAAGGAAACCCAGGAAAAAATATATATATACACACACACACACACACACACACACACACACTTGTTGGAGACAGAAGCTACTTATACCAAATGTCATTTAACAATAATAAAAAAAAAATATGCAAATAGCATACACCTCTCAAAAATACAAGCAAAAATACACCAAAGACAGCATGGAGAATAGGAAAAAACAGTACCAACTTACAACTGCACCTCAAAGTAATGTAACCTTTAGCTAGTGGGTAAAATAGCAATAATCACTTTTCCAGAGCAATATAAACTATATAAAAGGAAAGATCAGAGTTCATTTCCAAATGTGAACACAAAAATTCATACTATACTACCTACAGGGTGATTGAAAAATAACTCCCTATTTTATGTATGATGGACTCGTCCATCTTGTAAAAATTATAGTTAGATGGAAGAGCCCATCATACATAAAATAGGGAGTTACTTTTCAATCACTCTGTACAACTAGATCATGACTCAAAAGACTAAATAACATCACATCACATCAAATCAAATAAAGTTTATTTTTGTTTTAAATAAGCAAAATGGTTTCCTTTCCCCACTCTTTTAAGCCAGTAGTGGCATACATAAGTTGTAGCCCTAAAAATAATGTATAAACAGAATATATATAATATATATATATATATATATATATATATATATATATATATATATATATATATGAAAAAAAATATCTGGAAAAAAACAAACAAAATCATTATATACAATTATGCTGTTTTAATGTTAATGTCAACGTCGGACATTTCGTCTAATAAACCATCTTCAGGACATATTCATAAATTATAACATTATCAACATATTAACATTAAAACAGCATAATTGTATATAAGGATTTTTGTTTTTTTTCCGTATATATTTTTTCATACTGTCGGATCTATATCCATATATTTGCTTTTATATATATATATATATATATATATATATATATATATATATATATATATATATATATAGAGAGAGAGAGAGAAAAGTTTATGCAAGGAGTAGTGACAAATGGTCTGAATATTGCTTGTTGTAAAACTAACAGTCATCATGCAGTGTAAATTTCTGTGTCCACACTATCAACAACCTTTCAGTTAGATTTCTGAAGCTGAATCAATAAGAATTCAATCAGAAGCAAGCATCTAAAAATGATTTATTTTTTTCAGGTGAAGCTTCCAGCAAAAGCCAGGGTCAAACAACAGAGGATACCCAATATCTATGATAAGACACAACTAAGGCTTGAGGTATTATGCTTGTCTCTTTAGACATTTGCCTTCACTAAATGTTAAAGAGGAATTTTAAGTTTGTAAAGTTTGTGTGTCTGTGTTATCCTGTATATGGTTGATTCATTAAGATGACTTTTAAATATCAAAACTGTGAATGTCAATAATTAAAAGAATGATAAAAATTCCTTTCTTTTCAGTGACACACTTTCTCTATTCATTTTAGTCATCCAGTAATTAAGTCTTAAGACAAACATTTCATATTTACATAGTTTTTCAGCTCTGTCTGTTGCTATTTTTTAATGCCATTCAATTAAATGTAAATCCTATCATTCATATAATTGAGTACAGTCATCTATCTTTATTTTTGCTCCATAGTTTCTTCAGCCCTACTTAAATAGAATGGAATACTTGAAAAAAAATAGAATAATTTTCATAGATTAGCATTCTTTAGACCTTATTTAAGATGCGACACTTGTCAAATCAAAAACTGATTTATCAATTTAGAAGGGGAGTCCAGTTAATATCGATATAGTGTCATTGATTCCTGATTTTTACAGTATTGGACTTCAGTCATGTAGCTGTTATTTATAAATGTCAAGTCTGAAACTTTGATAACATCATAAATACTGCATTTTTTTTTTTTTTTTTTTTTTTTTAAATCTCTTTTGAGATTTAAAAAAAAAATTTCTATAGATTTATTTGGTTTGGGAGCACATGCACAAACATTTAAGGTTAATAATTATTTAACTTAAATGAATAAATAAATACATAATTTTAATAATATACTTAATTTTTTTTTTTTGTTTAATTAATGTATATATCTTCATAATCTAAAATAATTTTTTTGTAGCAACCCCCCCCCATTTGTTTTTGTATGCAAAACTGCTAACACCAATAACTCTGTGAAAGTCAGGGAACAATTTGACAATGTATCAATATTATAAACAGAACCCAACTTTTAAATTGACAACTAATCAATACTTTTTGATTCTGACAAAAGTGTAAGGAAGGTCTACTAACAAATGCTAATCTACAAAAATTATTTCCCTAAAACATTTTTCTATTTTTTTTTTTTTTTCTTTTATGAGTGAATCAGTCCATTTAAGTAGTGCTGTTTCTTCTAAATTGAATAGTTAAAAGAATGATAGGTAAAGAGTTAAATAATTAAATCCTAACAATTTATGTCTAAAAGGATTTTGAATCACAAAAGTTTATATTTGGCTTTCTTAATAATTAAGTTTTAATAAATAGAATGCAAGTTAATATTTCTTATATTTAAATAAATTTAAATCAGCATAAGCAATGAAATATATATATATATATATATATATATATATAAAGAGACAAAGTGGGGAAAACTGTTCAACATGTTAGGCATCATCAGGCTGAAACGAGACAAACTTGTGTGTGAGAAAAGGGTGTTGAAATACCCCTTTCTGAACACAAGAGTGTTCAGTAGAAATTGAATTGCACAGACAGGAATTTAAGAGATCAAAGCATGCTAAACACAGGAACTGCAGCAGCTGAAAGATCATGGTATTAGTTACAACAATATCCACCATCAGCTTGTGGAAGTAATGCTAAACAAAGGTCTCAAATTTGCTGCCGCCATCAAGCAGATCCAATACTACGATGACATAGCTCCAGTTAAAGAGGCTTCCTTGAGAGCTCTAAAACTCAGGCTGAAATAGTGAAATAGGCCCTTGAGAAAGCCAAGCCTCCCAAATCAATTATCACAAGAAAGGAAAATATGGCTATGAAAACCTTACAGAGCATTATAAAGATCATCAAACTGTCCATACAACAGTTGTGATAGACAAGTTGGAAAATTCAGAAAAATTGGCTAACCTAGTTAAGGATGGTAATTACAGCAAGGTAAAGAAGGATCTGACTCTAAAATCTAAGAGGAAGCTGATATAGATCCCAAGCAAGAACAGGGATTACTTCACTATGAATGTATACAGGCAATTGATCTATTGTTAGTCTTCCCAAATTTCATAATGGTTATATTCCATTGAGGTTTATGGTCACTTGTCAGAACTTAGTCTGTTGTTCACTGATCAGATTCTTCAGGTATAATCAAGCCATTAACAGGTTAGTTTCCATCCTATGTATAGAACTGTCCACTTTGTGGAGATCATCAGAGATGTTCCAATTGGTACCAAATGGATGGTGAGCTTGAATGTGAGCTTATTTAGCAAGATTACCACTGATTAGACCCTGTCAGTGGTTCAGAACAAGTTGGAATCTAACCTCTCTCAAGGAGAGCACAAAGATCACGATAGATAACCTGTTGGTAATAATATTTTGTGTACAGACAACATACTTTCAGTTGTGTTTCAACATATGCCAACAGGAAAAAAGACTTAGCAATCAGATAGCCATTGTCTCTAATAATGGTAAATATATATGGAATATATAGCGGAAATTGTTATAAAAAGGTCACTACTAAAGCTGACTGTGTGGCTTAGATATGTAGGAGGTACTCTTATATTCTGACCCCACCAGGAAGATGTGCAGATTCTACTGAACCTATGTAAACTAGGTAAGAACTTTCATACAGTGCACAATGGAAAAAGAAACTGAAGATCAACAGACCTTCATGTATGCACTAATAACTTGCACAGTTTGGATTTAAGACATGTGCATATCATACGCCACCGGACAATACCTGAAATCGAATTCTCACCATCTATACAATGTCAAGAAAGGAATTGTCTGGCACCTACAACATCAGATCAAATTCATATGCATACCAACAAGAAATGGGTGTCATTAGAAACACCCTTCAATGTAACAACTATGCAAGCATAATATCTACCATCCATACATAAAGGGTACATCTGAAAGGATTCAGAAGATTTGTTATCCATTCATCATGATTGCAGTAGTTTGTCAGTCATCTTTAGTCTTTAGAGGGATTGCTGCCCGAATATACAATATATATATATATATATAATGTTTGTGCACATACATACACCTTATGTTTATTTAATACAATAGCATATATTTACTGCAATAAAGTTTCTTTTGGTAAATTTTTAATTTTACGGATATCTTTTTCAATATGACATATTTATTTCTGTTGCATTTCAGATTGGAGATATCGTGACAGTAACAAAAATAAATCCAAATGGACAATGGGAAGGAGAAGTAAATGGAAAAACTGGCATTTTCCCATTCACTCATGTAGAATTCATAGACTCTGAAAATACAGGTGAAGGCGATATTGAAAACAATACAAACAAAGTATAGGCAAGCAACATAGACTTAAATAATCTCCTCCTGATGGGATATGTGTATATAGCAGAATTGGTTCTGAGGAGGAAACTGCCTTTTTTTTTTTTTTTTTTTTTTTTTTTTTTTTTTTTTTTTTTTTTTTTTTTTTTTTTTTTTTTTTTTGTCAACAAACTGACAACACAAATACTGTTGTTGCTACTGCTGCAAAGGAGAAAAGAATTATGAAATGACTGGATTTTTGGTCCCTCCTCCATTCTTTATTTCTTCCTTCCTTCCTTCCTTCCTTAATCTTTGCCTTCCTTCCTTCCTTCCTTAATCTTTGCCTTCCTTTCAAATGGAATTTGGGATTTGAGGAAAAAAAATTTATTAAAAAAAAAATGAGCAATTTATTCATGGGCTAATGAATAATTCTTGTTTGCTGCCTCCACACTAAAGAAGTGTTCTGTTTTTGTTAGCCCCTTTTTTTAAGTTAGATTCTTTTACATGCACCCCTTTCTTTCAGTCAGTTTCCATTCGAACATTTTTATGAAATTGGTATGTTAATTTCTCTACCAATCACAAAGCAAATTGAACTTCTTTCCTCACATATTTTTAAATTGAGCAAAGTTTCTCTTGCCACATATTGTGGTGGTGATGATGATGATGATGATGATTTGTTATGAGACTGTATTATAAAATTTGAGCTTTGAAATCCCTGCTCTTCTTTTGGGGCAAGTATGAAATGAACATAATGAAATTAATCTATTGCTTTGGCATGCAGGAAAGAAAAGATTTTCAGGTCATTCTTTAAAACTGGGTTACTGCCCTGCTTTTTTTTCCCTTCTTTATTTTTTGTGTGAAGGAATTGATTAATTTCTAGCATGAGGGTAATATATTAATTCCTTTCCACAAGCCAATCTGCACCTCCTTTATCTTTTTGTTTTAAAAAGAAAAAAAATCCATATTGTGCCTTGTTGGTTTAAGAGATGAAAATCTGTTGGTTGCAAGGTGAGCTCATTTTTTTTAGGGGACTGAACAAACCAATGATTTGTTTTTTCACTGGTGTAGCATGAAGATTATCTCCCCACCCTCTCTTTATACATTTTCACACAACTGATTTTTTTTTTTTTTAATACCAAATAACCAAGAATCATGTTTTTATATATATATATATATATATATAATTTTCATTCATCCACTTATAGTCATAAATTTAAAAGAACCAAACAATTCTCATCTGGTTTTTCTGTTACAATAAAAATATTTAAATAAAATTTGCAATAAAATTGGTTGGGAAGGTTTTCTTAAATTAATGATTTTAAATTGGGGAAATTAGATTGTAAAAATTTTTGTAGGAGAATGATTATCGCTGAACAAATTTGTTTATAGATTTTACAAGATTTACAGCTGATATTTTCTGGGGTGCAACTTTGGTTTGATGGTTGTGAAAAGGTTTTTAATAAAAACTAAAGCAGAAAATACACCCTTTTTTTTTTTTTTTTTTTTTTTTTTGCCAACAAATTTTTTGAGAAAGATTAAATATATACACAAATATAGGTGAACAGAAAACTATTTTTTAATTTTATATTTCAGTAATTCGTACCTTTCTAATATGGCTGCTACATTGTGCTTTATATCAATTTTGTAGATATTTATTTTTTTTTAAGTGAAACAACAGAATTTTATTTAGCTTTTGTTTTCTCTCCATATTAAGAATATGAAATATATGTAAATCCAATTATTTATTGTATGAATACTTGAAAGAAAGTAAGATTGACTCTTCTAATTTGTAGCGTATTTCAAATATCAATCACTAATCATTTTGGGAGTTAATATAAAACAATAGGAAGAAAATTGGAAGAAGTCAAAAAAAAATTTTAACGTTAATAAAAAATAATCTTGATCCATTATAAAAAAAAAAAAACTAAAGCAAAAAAATTGATTAAATGTTAAATTTTTATTTTTATCTTGCAGACTTCAAAACAAAATATTTTTGAAGCTGACATGGATCAGTTAATTTTTATTAAATATTTGAATAAAAAGCATATATTAAATGAATTGGCAAATATTCCTTCCACAATCCTTGAATATATACTTTTACTATTTATTTTTAATCTATTTTAACTATGAATTCCTTTTTAGTAGTTTTATAGCAATTTCTATTTTCCCTAAACATTTCACCTTATTTTCAACCTCTATTGTAGACTTAATTTTCTTATTATTCTTGTGGGTTGTCATAAAGTTTTCTTCCCAGATGTTTTGTAAGCATTGTTTGAATTGTTTAATGTGATAACTGAGGCTGGATATATTATTTGTTTCTTTGTTAAATCCAATTTACAAAAACAAATGTATTGGCTATGATTAACATTGGACACAAATATTTTATCAAAGCAAATTTAAACTCATGAAAAAAAATTGTTTACTTTATATCAAATTTTTAAAAAATCAAACAAAAAGAATATTAAACACTTATGAACATTTATATCCCCGTCCCACTTGAAGCATAAATTTTATTACAATAAAGTGGAATTAATTAAAGCACATGGTTCAGAAGAAACTCAAGTGTTGTGGTCGATCAGTTAAGATAAAGCCAGATACCAAAACACATTTGCTAAACAAAATCTGTTTTATTTTAAAGATTTGACAGTTTCTGAAAAACACCTTCCTTTTTTCCCCCCTTTTTTCATTATTTTATATATATATATATATATATATATATATATATATATATTTCTACTGTAAAAATGGCCATATTTGCATATAAACTGTCATAACCAGAAAGGAAATGTATCCGGTTCAGATAAAATAGTTAAGTAAATTTTTTGAAGGACTATTCAAAGAGAGTTATAAAACTAAATCATTTTTCATTTATATAACTTTTAGGTTAAAAAAAATTGTTTCTACTACTGCAGTAAGTGGTCTGTAATACAAACTGCTTATCTAAAGACATTCTTTTAAGATAAAATTCAACCTGTTTGCTATTTTACATCCAGGCTTTACCAACTATATTGATAGTTACATTTGATGATAAATAAATGACACTCCAATAGTAACAATAAAATTAATAGTCAAAAATAAATAATTAAGAAAGGTGAATTTAGATATAAATTTTGTATATGTGAGCACCTACCATAGAATAAATTGGCAAAGCAGTCAAACTGATTGAGTGTCTCACTATTTAGATATTTTTTTTCCTCTTGATTAGGCTAAGCTTAAATATTTACATATTGCACAAGTAATTGTTTGTTATTTATACTTTGAACTGTTAGCTACCTTTTTGCAAGGGTCACATTTCCTGTTAAACAGTTTGTTTTTTTTAACGCTGATAATCACAGCTTTGTACTGTGCCTTTCACATTCAATATTATTCCTCTCTTGATAACGTTGATGGACTGTTATGCTCTTCTATAGATTTTTATCATTTTAGCAGTAGATAAAAAATAAGTATTTTCCATTTACAAAAAGAAAAGCTTACATTTATTAGTCATCAAAACCTCTGTACCTATTTAACAATTTTTTTTTTTCTAATTATTTCCAAAGTTTAAATTATTTGACTATTAGCATTTGTGTTATCTGAAAGTATTTGTTTATTTGACTGAGCTATTTTGTTTTGTATCCCAAGTTTCTTCTAAGTAGAACTGCAATGCCTTCTGATTTAGAAAAGCTGTAGTCACAAGATTACAATATTAATATAACTGATCGTTAATTTTAAATATTTTCTTTCACTTTTTTTAAATGTAATGTACTGGCAAAGAAAACATCTAGTTTACAAATAATGAAGCTATTTTTTTTTTTTTTTTTTTTTTTTTTTTTTTTTGACTTTGAAAGAAGTTCTGCAGGACTTTGTCAGTAAATCTAAATCTTTTTTCTTATACCAAAAAATGCCTATGAACTAAATAAATTTAGATACAGCTGAATTGAAATTACTTTAATCAGTACCTTGTTTATACTGTTAAAAAAAAAACCCTTATGGCTTATAAATAAAATTAATCTTTCTAGTAAATCAATCTTTACTTAAATTTGAATTATTCCAAAAGGTCCTTATTGTATGTTAGCAAAATAACTAATCTGAAACGTTTCTAATCAAAATTTCTCTAAATTGTCTACTGAACATGATATATGGATTCAGTGATGTACTTAATTTCCTGTGCTTGACATTATCAATAACAGACATGGATAAGCACTTATGGTTTCATGTGCATTTTTTGCCAAGGACTGCTTACTGAGTATTTGAGCAGGGTGCCTTTTTTTCTCTGCACAGTGCATGTTTTTTTTTGTTTTTTGTTTTTTTGCTGCAAATGTTTTTAAAAAGAATTAAAATAATTCCAATATATCTGATTTGGTAAATGTCCATCCCCCATCACTTATTCATTCAGCTGTGTATTAAATAAAGTGATTTTTTTTTTTTGATTTTTTTTTTTTTTTTTATTATTGGCTGTCATTTAATTAACATCACTATCAAATCCCTGATTGCAAAATTAAATTAGGTTTCAGTCTTAACTTTCTTAACAGTGCAAAATTTTATACTAAATAAAATGTACTGTAATTAGAGCACTCTTCTTACTTTGGGGGATCACTTCTACTAACATTAGTATTATCTTGCAGATATTAGTTTTAGTATGCTTGTCTCAAGCTTTGTAAATGAAATTAAGTGGACAGAACTGTTTGAAACCTGTTGATTGTGGTTGAGGGTTTGAGTATACAGGCCTTGTCCAAATACTGATTACATCAAATTATGGGCTCTCTCTTTCCTAGAAACAGGTCCGATCAGCATAGTTGCAGCATACAGGTTAGTTGTGTGGGTGTTGAAGAAACAAATGTGCCTGATTAGGTGTCTGCAATAGGGGTTAGTGAGCTGTCCTGGTAGACTCCATAGTCTCCTGTGACTGACAGATGCTTACTATGATGATTGAAACAGCTAGATAGGCATTAGATTATGTCATTTCTGATATGGTTCTAATTAATTATTTAGAACTTATTTATATATTTAAAATAATGCTTTGTTTGATATCATAAGTTTCAATTAGTGAAGCACAGTTGATAATACCATATAATTGTTATCTTTTAAAGTATTGATTTTAGAAGCTCACAAGTATCCTGGTTGCCTGGTGTGTTGGACATAGTGTGATACAAGGCTCCAAAAATAGAGTACTAAATGAGGATTGTATAATTAGCATTGGCTTTGCAAAACTGTTCTACAAACCATTACTGTGTCATATGGAATGTAGAATTTCATCGAAAAATCTCATCTGATACCACTTGTAATGTGGATACTGCACATGTTCATTTTTATAGGAGTTTTTAAGACAAATTATTATCATTATTAATTATATAATATTATCAAATAAAATTGGGTAAATCCCTGGATATTTTTTTTTTCTCCTCTTTATTATACCATTTTTCCACTATATTCTGGGGCCTTAGAAAAGCCATTTTCCAAGAGTTCAATTCAAACAATTGATTCCATCCCTGAGTTATATATTCAGTTGAATCCAAGACGCCATATTCCAACGATATGCTTTGATTACTCTTTGTCTTGCTGTTTTTCCCCTCTCCCCCCCCTCTCTATGAAAAACTTTTTATACTTTTTTTTTTTTTCTTCTCAAAAGCATAATTAAGGAGTTTAGATTTTCTTTTTTCAACCTTAACTTTATGCTAAATTACAGCTTTAACTATAAACCAAA